TTATTGCAGATCCAGTCGGAGGACTAAACTTGCTCCCTGTGAACGGAGTCTACTTCTACCACCTACTACAGTGTTCCCACACACATACCACCCGCACACAAACACTTGACGCCTTATTGAATAGAGGGATGTTTTCATGTATGTCGCTGTTGAAGTGTATGGGAGGAAGGGATTTAGTAGAGCCCGCATGGATTAGGTATTCGGTAATTAATTTGCGGTTAGAAAGCGTTCAGATAAGTAATACCTGCTTTGTTGAATTAACTTGTAGCTCTTGTCGGGAAGGATGAAGCCACTGTCTTTCACATTGGCTGCCTTTAAAAGATCATTGTATAGGCTACACACCCATTCGAACGCCAGGAGACTTTAGACCTTTTTATGCTAAGGGGTGACTTATTGCCAGTGTTGGCTGATTGTGAGACTATAGAGCGTCGCATATGTTTTTCTGAAGATCGCTGGTGGGAGAACAATGCTGTACGATGACCGAAACCTGCAGAACATGAACATTGTAGAGGCAATTTCATCGTCGATTTCACGTGTGGATATGAGGACTGCGCCGCTCTTATCACATTCTCTTTCCACTTGGCGCGCCTGTCAAGTGGTTTTCCTTTCTAACTGGCACCACAATTATGAGAGTGTTGTACGATTCTCCCCGAATAATAGATACCGATCGGACTCCTTTTTCATCCGTTCAGTGTAAATGTATAGCGGTTTTTGAGGTGCTATCCGCGCTTTGTCTGTATTGTCCGTAGTGCTCACTTGGCTCACAGCCTCTACGAGTATGGTCGTTACACCTGTGTTTTGAGACCATGATAGGCCCCGACGATCGCTTCTGTAGCCAGTGGAAATGATGGCGGACTTGTGTAGGTTTATATTGCAGCTAGCTGCCCTCTTGAATCTGTTCGGTACTAGACGCCCTCCTGTCTTAGCTTTATAAACCCTTTCCCTATAGACCTACCAGCTTGTTCTTCCTCCCAAAACTGCTCTCAATAGCCAGCTTCTCAGATTCAGTTTCAAAATAAATGAGAAGCTCTTTGGGATTGGTCAATCACGTCTGAGAAATGAGCTCCTTCATTCAACTTCAATACAGAATCGTAGTTCCTTTTGAAAGCGCCCTACACAATAATCTTCGGTGGCCAGCCAATGTGCAGGTCAGTACTTTTATCTCGGAACGGGCAATAAAAACGGTTTTGTGTAACCGATCCGCCGTCCGCCTCTATCGCGGACCATTTGCGCCACTATAACAGTTCTAGCACTCTTCATACAGCTCAATCGCTATGCGATTATTACTTTTGTCAGTTTCTACTGTTGGTTCCTTTGTTCCTGTATTTCTTACTTGCTGCTGCACTCTGCTACATTCCTTCGCGCGCGACGTCCCTCTTGCCGCGACGCGACAAACTCGTTCCTACTGCACCACACCCCTTTTATCTTCATCGGCGAGTCTGATAGCAATTAACCGATCCCGGAGTGGTGGGAGGCAGCCGGCTAAAGCTTAAGATCCAGGATTCGATACCCTTCTTCTGTTGTACATGGTAGTGCGCCACTTGTAACTACACCAACTTCGCCAGAATTGGAGAATAGGTTAAGTTTCCGGGCCTCCCACTGTCCAGTTCTACTTATTCCGTGAAGAAATATTAGACATTCCTAAGCTAGTAGGATTGTTTACATTCTCGTTCCTAGTCTCTTTTTTTTGTGTTGTTTTCAGTGCAGTTCAGACCCTTTCATTGATCGGAGCAAGCCTTTGAACGTATCAAGGGTGAGCCCAGGCGCCTGGGGTTCATCAAATCCGTTCTGAGATGCACCCTCACGTCCGTCTCAATTTCGGAATCGTAGGGGCGTTTTTGTATCCATGATGCCTACGCAGTGACTCTCGGATGATTGCCGATATACAATTTAGGGATCTTGTCCTCCCTTATAGGTCTGATCCCAATAGGTGGAAGGTTTGATTGCCTTGAATGGGTAACAAAGGTTGGTAAGGTAAACCAGGGTTCAATCCCCAGTCTATGCGCGTTGTAGTGCCCATCTTAGCACCAGTTCCTTCCATTGTTCAAGCGTAATATGAATAAATGCACAAATAAATAAATGTCCTGAAGTTCTGCAACAATTGTGTAGTTGAAAGCCAATGGGTCCAACCGCCACTGCCATAGTAACCTTGATTCATGTCGAGGTTCGTTCTTATATGCATTGCTATGCTGTCATTTGATGGGTTTTAAATATTCCTCAAAAGCTGATCAAGGACCATGTAGACTAGACTATAGACTCTGGCCAGCATATCCGAACTTCACCCATATTGGTGGTTTGTCGGGTAAGGGGGCCCACAGAAGGGAAAATTCTGTACAGTATTCGAACGGCGCTGGTGGGAAATTTAGGGGGTTACTGTAAGAGCTGAGTGCCCGTACTGATTCCCCGCCACAATCCCCCAGTCGAAACTGGCTTGCTGTGCGATCAGTACAATTCACCTCATATAACTTGAAGTATAAGGGTCTTACCACGACCATCTGATGTACCGTGATGACGTAGTTCCAACAAAGCGACCGTGGTTAGTCCCAAAGCATATCCAATCTGATCTTACCTCAGTTCTTCATTAAAGTCGAATGCATGGCGCATTCAAAACATGTTGGTCGACACCATTTGCCTCATAATCTGCTCTGAGAGTGTGTTACAACTTTATGACTTCCTATTAGCGTACTTTTGCTTCAGTGCCCAGCGAACGAGACGAGACCTCTACTGGGAACACATGTCTGGGAAGCCCTCTCGGAAACGATATGTGCATGTGCTTGTTGCTTCTTATCTGCACACTCGCTGACTCTTCCCTGGTTTCCTTTGACTTTCTATCTTTGCCCTCTCCCTAGGACCTTTCACTCTGCATTTACGGGCCATAGCAAAGTATTGTAAACACTTTTGATTGATTGTGAACTCTGTCAGTATTATTTGGTTTCAATGTCTCATATTGATCTGAATCCTCATTGTAACAAAGTTAATTTTCGAAATAAGTGAACCTGTTTCGGTATTTTGCAAATTGTTTTTATTGTCTAGGACTAATAACATCAACATTTTCACTTTTTGGGCCAAATCATTTCTCCAATCTGATGGACATTCCAATCGAACCTACGCTACAATTCTGGAAGATTGNGCTTCATAATCTGCTCTGAGAGTGTGTTACAACTTTATGACTTCCTATTAGTGTACTTTTGCTTCAGTGCCCAGCGAACGAGACCTCTACTGGGAACACATGTCTGGGAAGCCCTCTCAGAAACGATATGTGCATGTGCTTGTTGCTTCTTATCTGCACACTCGCTGATGCTCCCTGGTTTCCTTTGACTTTCTATCTTTGCCCTCTCCCTAGGACCTTTCACTCTGCATTTACGGGCCATAGCAAAGTATTGTAAACACTTTTGATTGATTGTGAACTCTGTCAGTATTATTTGGTTTCAATGTCTCATATTGATCTAAATCCTCATTGTAACAAAGTTAATTTTCGAAATAAGTGAACCTGTTTCGGTATTTTGCAAATTGTTTTTATTGTCTAGGACTAATAACATTAACATTTTCACTTTTTGGGCCAAATCATTTCTCCAATCTGATGGTCATTCCAATCGAACCTACGCTACAATTCTGGAAGATTGGAGTTTTAAAATGGAATTCTGGTCCATGTTCCCTATCCAGCCCTGACTTATTGTCCTTCCTTCCCCGATTACACAAAATTTCAGCATTCAGAGGGCTTAATACCATCCTCACTCAGCTGTCCCAAGACGATGGATGAATTTCTGATTTATTTTCGATCGTCATAGCAACAGTTTCGTAAAGGAATCAGAAATTTGATTATCGACCCTATGATGCGGATCCCGCGGCGCCGCCCAAATTTGAAAAGTGTCGCGCGGAGCGAGACACTCGCGCTCGCGAATTTGTCGTGTGCGGCAGCATTGGGCAGATTCAATCTTTAATCTGGCGGCATTCTACAAAGCCGTTCTCCTTAAGCGAATAATAAAGAAGAACTGTATCCATCGTTGTCTGGGAATTTGATTTTCCCCGACAAGAGGTATATTAGTTATAGTTTTGTTGTGTTTTTTGTAGGTTAAACACATTTTTTTAGCAAAATCAATTCTTTGAATTCGTTGTTTCCGGACCCGAACCCACACTAATAAAGCGTGGAAGTATGAGTTCGCTTTTGAAGAAGGTTACCCAACTCTAGGAACGCGTTGACCTGGGGCCATATGAATAGATACAGACAACAATTCCCTAAATCGTCATTCCTTATGTCCCACCACCATTCTTTTCTCTACACTCGGTTTGATAGTCTGCAAATGGCTCCAGAATCGTGAGCGACGCTTCTGCCACTCTATTTTTGGGGTCATTCAAGTGTTAAGAAGTAAAGGGAAGCTCTAGTGTTGGTCTCGCTAGCATCCCAGTGGAATTTCTACGCTCCACGGCCAAATTACGGTAGTGCGTCCTTTAAATGTTCGCCGGTCGTTTTCTGAGATTTCTTGATATCAGTGTTCTCTTCTGTTTACTAGGTCAATGTTCTGTAATCAATCTTTTTTTGTACCAGTTTAAAGTGGATTTTGTTGGTAGGACTTGCCTCCTGCTTCGTTTAACCCCTGTTCAAAGGTGCTTTGCTGTAGATGAGAGTCGCATGGGGTTCTCCCACTCGATACTTTATTTTGGTTAAAAATTAGTTCTTGACAGAGACAAATCTCTTTTGCAAATCTTGTTTTAATCATTCTTCTTCTACTTCACTCGGGATTTGGATGATTTCGCTTCTAATATTTGTTGCTGCAACAATTTAACGATTGCGCCAGTGGTGTCAAAGTCATATGCTTTTCGATTACAACAAATGTTCGGCGGCGAAGATGTGAGTGATCCATCAACGCCAATTTGACAGCCATTTTTCATTGATAGAGGGTTCTGTTCTCACGATTTTGCTTCAATCCTGTACTCGTTCGATCGCTCCTTCCGTTTCTCCCTCTCCATGAAACGTTATCGTTTCTTTTTTTGTTACAGGTATGGATGCATGGGAATTTGCCGACGAGGTAGATGTCCTTGCTAAACTTCCTGCCAATTTCGATGAATTGAGAGAGTCGAAGAAATGGCAGGAAAGGAAAGAGGCTCTAGAAGCGCTTGCCACATTACTAGATGCGACCGTTAGATTATCCACGAAAGCCAGCTATGGAGAGATTCTTGGTAACCTCCAAACGGTACTTGATTGATTCAAATCCTCGGCTCTACACTAGTCTGTTCTAAACCTTGCAGTGTACTTTATTCCAGATGTTGGCGAAAGATGCAAATATTAACGTATGCGCTCTTGCTGCCAAATGTATTAAAGGATTTGCCACTGGGTTGAGATCAAAGTTCTCACCATATGCTCAGTCGGTGAGTAAATCTCCAATTGCGAATTGTGGACCAACCGTGGCAGTTTGATCAAGTTTTACTTTCAGATAATTCCGGTTGTCTTCGATAAATTAAAAGAGAAAAAGCCGTTACTTAGAGACCCGCTTGTCGAATGCGCTGATGCCATTGCTGCAACGGTGAGTTGGCTTTGGTAAAATGTGAAGGAGTTCATGCTTCTTGGATTGACAAAAGTTCTTCGACTAGGGGGATTTTTCCAATTTTTCTCTAGAATCGACCAATTAGGTCTTATATTAGAAATACGTCTATTAGAAGGATCAGCAACCTTCTGTAATCCGTTGAGCAAATCATTAATGCCTCATTATATCATTATCTTGTCTAGAATCTAGTAGGAGAGCAGTTTGAAAGCAGCCGGTTCCTTTGTTTTTTGACGGGTCTCTGACGCGAAATTTTGACACTCGTTGTCTTGTTGTAGGTACACTTGTGATTGTTTTGCACGTCACTCTGAAGGTCTACTGCTTCTGACGTTGTTCAATTGGTAGATAAGGCTGGCCGTTTGCGTACAGCAACCTTAGAGTGTTAGAAAGGGTAATGTGTTCTGTGCAGAAATACTCGATCACTTTTGTGGCCATTGTGCGGTGGGCTGTGCCTTTGGTAAGTGCTGATAGTTTCAGTCGCCACTTTCGCTTTTTTACCTTTGCGCCATTCGTAGGGGGTATAAAATTTATATTGTTCAATTATCAATGAGAACGTTGCAAAGCCCATACGTGCCCTTGTTCACTCATGTAGTGATTGCTCAAAAAATGTTCTCAAAGTGGTACTTTGTAGTTGCTATCTGTTCACATTATCTGAACCTAATTTATGGTCATCCGAACTTTGTCGAAGAACTTTTTGACCATTCTTGTATTTTACACTCTTAACAAACCCACAAATATTCATACGAGTGAGTAGTTGGTTTCCTTTTACAGATTCCTTCTCTTGAAGTAATAGTCGAGGAGATTGAGGCAAATATGGGAAAGCCGAATCCGCAGATCAAGCAACAAGTGGACAATTTCTTGAGCAGACAAATTAACCTGCTAACTTCAGATAAGGTGCTTATTTTCTACCAATAATACGAAAATTGACAATAGGTCACATAGTAAAGATTGATGTGCGTGACTCATTGGTGTGTTTTCAGGCTCCTAAGAAGTTGATCAAGACAGTAGTTCCTGTGCTGATAAAGCACGCCGCAGATGCGGACCAAGATGTCCGTGAAGCCTCTTTAGGAACTATCGGTGCTATCCAGCGTCTCATTGGTGACAAGAATGTGCGATCCATGATCGGTGATCTCAGTAACGATGAAGTGAAAATGAAAAAAGTCAGTTATTTTTCGCGTCGGTCAGCGCCGTGTGGTAGAGGAGAACTGAAACTCTAAAATTACTGTTGTAGATAGCAGAGTATGCGGAGAAAGCAGCACAAGCGCATGCCGAAGAAATGGCAAAACATTCGGCAACCACTAACAGTGAGCAGGCAGCTCCAGATGAATCGTCCGTTGCCGCAGAAACTGGACCTCGTCCAAGTACTGCTAGCGCTCCAGCTCCTGTTAAGGTCCCTATTATACAACATTAAACTTTCTTGTAATTGACTGAATAGAACCTTAACCAGGAAGCAGACCCATGGGACTTTCTGGAAGCTGTCGATGTGCTTGCGAAACTTCCTGATGATTTTAACACCAATATTGAGAGCAAGAAGTGGACAGAACGAAGGGATGCACTACAGGTAGCTAACGTTGTGTGAGGTTTCCCTCAATGATTTCGTAATGTCTTCTTTTTTTAATTTTGTTACTTACAGTTGTTACTCGACCTTATAACAGCAAATCCTAAATTGGATCCAAAAGCATCGTACGGTGAACATATTTCGCTACTGAAAAGGGTAAATGATCTTCCTTCAGATTCTTTTCCTTATACGCGCCTTGTGAATTACTTGTTTAATGGTAATCTCCCTGCAGATCATAGAGAAAGATGCCAATATAAATGTAGCGGCTTTGGCTGCAAAATGCATGAGAGGGGTTGCTGAGGGCTTGCGGAAAAAGGTGCGCTCCCATGGAATTCTGTTTACCTTTTTTNTTTTTTCTACACATTCGTATAGTACTTGTAGTTAACATTCGAAGCTTCATTCCAGTTTGCTCCCCATGCTCCTTCTGTCGTTCCTGTAATTTTTGACAAATTCAAGGAGAAGAAACCATTACTTCGTGATCCTTTGGTTGAATGTATCGACGCCATTTTTGCCACGGTATGTTTCAGAGTCGAAGAATGCTTTTCAGTGAAATTCTATGTGGGTTTTAGACGACGCTTGAAGCAATAGGAGACGATATTCTTGCTGCACTCGAAAAGCCGAATCCAAACATCAAAATACAGACCGATCTTTTCTTATACAGGTCAGCACGTTCTCTATTTTCATAACTTTCCGTGATCATCAAAGCTAATTCTGTCTTACATTGTACTGACCTCAGAATAATGGTTTTCAGGGCCTTCAAATTACTTAATGCTCAAACAATGCCGAAAAAAACCCTCAAGTCAATCGCGCCATTGCTGATCAAGGTTATTTTTGATAATGATATCAGAAATGCTAGAATCGCGAAGTTTATGAGCTCAATCTCTTCACTACCGCTGGGAGGATGACTCATTTTCTTTCAGCATACAGCCGATTCAGACGCCGAGGTTCGCGACGCCTCTTATGCTGCCCTAGGTTCGGCCATGCGTGCTATTGGGGAGAAGCCTTGTCTACCGCTTCTTTCAGATATCCTAGACGATAAGCTCAAAATGGGAAAGGTTTGTATCGCCTCTAAGTCTTGTTATAAGATTATGCATTTATCTTTAACTGAATACTTCACTTTCAGATAAAGGAGTTCTATCAGAAAGCTTGCGAGGAGGCAGGCCCAGAAGTGATCACTCAAATGGTCCAATCAATTCACAAAGCCGACGTAAGTGTTTGCAGTGACCCCCGAGTGGTAGATTAGTCGCTTGCTTCGTGCACAATTTCAGCGTTTTTATACCTTTTGTTGGCTTCTATCCAAGTCACACTTATCTTGGTTGCTATGTTCATACCGTACTGTGTTGTGTTGTGTTGCTATTGTGGCTGTGTGTAGGCTGCTCCTCCTCCATCAAAAAAGGTGGAGCCCCCTGTAAAGAAGGCTGCACCGACAACGCGTGATTCGTCTACGGAACGTCGTCCAGCTGCAGCAGAGGAGGAGGAGCCAACTGGCGATGATGAGGTCGGGATGTAGCTTTATTCAAAGTGAACTATAGTTAAAGATCACGTCTCGCTCTCGTCATTCAGCTCATTGCTGATTGTTCTATAGTTTCGTTGTGCTAGTGTAACTCATTTTTGGAGGGCTAGTGGAAAAAATTATGTTAAGTTCCAGTCCTCTTGGCTTTATTAGGTTCACTGATTTCAGTCTTTGAAACCACCTGCAGGTGCACCCGCGGTGAAGAAGGTTCCTGAAAAGAAAAAGGAGATCCCGAAAAAGGTATCTTGTGGTCCATCAAAAAGAATAAAAAAAAATCAAAAACCAAATTCAAGCTGCATGCTTTGCAGGTGGAAGAAGAGGAAGAGCCTGTGCAGAAACCACCAGATGAACTTCTAACAACAAACGACGAAAAGCAACAGCGCATCAAAGATGAACGTACTCTCAAGGTATGATGCTGTAATACAGAATTTAATTTGTTGGTTAAATTTTATGATTCATTCATTTCACTGAGTAGAAGAAGTTCTAGACTCTCAAGTGGAATTTTACTCTTCCGACAGAAGAGCACATGGCGCAGCTGCAAGAACAATTGGGCCGTCATGCAAAGGCATCTCTTATGGCTATGCTGTACCATAAGGATTTTAAGCAACACCTGAAAGCAATCGAGTTACTGATGAAGGTTTGCATTCAAAAATTTCTAATATTCAATTATTCTCAGGTTTCGTATTTTAATGGGCATGCTTCTCAATTGGGATAAAATGTATCATCTTTCACGTTTAGTCGTTCGATTGCAGAGTGCCGAAACTAATCCTGAATCGCTGGTGAAAAACAGCGATCTTTTGCTGAAGTGGTGTACACTGCGATTTTATGAAACAAATCCCTCTGTTCTAATCAAGGTTAGTTCACGTTAAAGACACGCTATTCCGATACTTGATTGTATTCGTCTTTAACAAATGCATGAAAAATCGTGTTTGAGGTGCTGGAGTTTGCAAAGCAAGTTCTTGTCCTCATGAAAGCCTTTGACGAGCCGATGTCTACTGAAGAAATGAATGCATTCGTGCCGCATTTGCTTTTAAAGTCTGGGGAACAAAAGGAAACCATGCGAAACGCTGTCCGTGAAATCATCGATGAAATCACTGACATCTGCGGTCCTTTCAAAATGTGTCCAACGCTCCTTGGTACGATTACATTAAAAAACTTTCGACCTC